AATGTTTTGAGAATGATGAGGGCAATGAATGTACAAATGCGCTTTACAAAAATGATGTATGTATGGATTGTGATAAGAGTTGGATGAGACCCTAATAAAATGATTAAAAAATAATAATAAATTTAAAAAATAACTCTGTCCTATACATGAGTTTCTGAATTTCTGTGGATTTGTTTCTCTAAAGTACCCAGACTAACACAGATCCCAATTGTTTTTCTCCTCGAACAGAATGAAACAAGACAAAAGGGAAACTATTTTTCCTATTTGGAATTCTAAGAGGACACACAATTCATGCTATATGTGCACTTAACTCTTGGAATGTGCAACTGCTGCCCTAGGCAGGGGGAAATGGTCCCACGCTCCTGGCTGGCTGCCCTAGCCAGGGGGAAATGGTCCCACGCTCCTGGCTGCATCAAAGTGCCCGTGACACTCAGAGGTAAGAGGATGCCCTTCACACGAGAGAGCTGCTCAACAGTAACACCGTATCTCTGATGAGCCCATGAGATCCTGAGAGAGGAGCAGGCGAGTTTACAAGTGAAGTTTGCATTGCTTCTCTGCTATCCTAAGTTCAAAAGCAAACTCACGGCCATCATTCAAGCTGATTCTGACTCATAATGACCCTGTAGGGCAGGTCAGAACTACCTCCTTGAGTTTCTGAGACCACAACTCTTTATGGGAATAGAAACCTCGTCTTTCTCCCACAGAGCGGCCGGCGGTTTCAAACTGCTGACCTGGGGGTTAGCAGCCCAACAAGTTACCCACTGCGCCACCAGGGTAGGAAATAATTCAAAATAAGGTCACAGCCTCAAAATTCAGCTGAAATCCATTTATTTTCCACCAGACTTAAGAATCAACGCTAATAAATTAAAATACATAAATTCTGTAAAGAGTCTTATACCACAAGGTCTTTTATTTTTTATTTTCAAGAGTGACTTCCTCTTCCTGTCTCACCATACAAAAGCGGCTCGCTCCCGTAACATGCGGACACCAAAGCGCTGCCACTCTCGCTGGTAAATCCACAGTTCTTGAGTCGTGTCCAAGCAAGCCAGCACCGCCCCTCCTTTCCAGGCAATCAGCCGGGGGTCCATGTCCTAAAGAAGCAACAGGGACATTTCCACCTATGCAGAAGGTTCAAGCCATCCAGGGGATCATTTACTTGCTTCCCAGGAAACCACGCTTGTCTGGTTCGAACGAGCAGTCAGAAATGTGTACAGACAGTTCATCTGGAAGGCTGCGCAGCACTGATAAATCCTCCCTCAAGAAAGAACATTCCCCAAGAATTGCCACTAGGACTTTACACTGTAAACGTTTTTATTTTATACATTTTATTTAATGTTAATAACTTTTATTTAAGGAATTTTACACGTCTTTGTCATCCATCGGTTACTATTTAGGTCCTCTAAATCTTGTAAAAGTTTATCTTCACGATCGCCCTTTTTAAGGCGCCTCTGCTAAAACCCACTGTTGTCAAGATGCGTCCAGCAGGCATTATCTCAGATGTGTCCATTCTTCTGGTTACACCACTTTAGCCTCCAGTATGGACAAATGTCACTATGACTCAAAGTGGACAATCTGTTTTAAATTCCTGTTTCTTTCTACCTTTTTAAAAAAACAACAGTTAAATAGTTTCAGTCAAAAAGTTCCTTAAAGCTCGTTCTGTAGCGGCCTGAGGTCCTCTGTCAAAATGGTTCGCTACTCACTTGACCCAGAAAACCCCACAAAAATCATGCAAATCGAGGGGGTCGAATCTCTGGGTCCATTTTAAGAACACCCATGAAACTGCCCAGGTCACCAAGGGCATGCACATCCAAAGCCACCAAATATTTGAAAGACGTCACTCTGCTGTCCTTCCGGAGTTACAATGGTGGAGCTGGTAGGTGTGCCAAGCAGTGGGTTTGGACCCAGGGCTGGTGACCCAAAAAGTGGATTTTTGCTGCACATGCTTAAAAATGCAGAGTCATGCTGAACTTAAGGGTTTAATGTGGATTCTGTGATCATTGAACACATGCAGGTGAACAAAGCCCCCAAGATGCACCGCTGGACATACAGACCTCGTGGCCTCATCAATCCGTACATGCCCCACCTGTCACAATGACATCATCCTTACTTAAAGGAACACATGTTCCTCAACCAGAAGAGGAGGTTGCACAGAAGAAAAAGTTTCCCAGAAGAAACTGAAGAAGCTAAAACTTATGATTCGGGAGTAAATTCAGCTCAAAATAAAAGTTAAAACAGGATTAAAAAAAAGAAAAGTTCCTTAATTATCTAATCTAAGGACCAGCAGAGCTTTAATACAAGGGTGAGTCAAAAAGTATTGCTAGAGAATTGCAGAAACTATGTTTAAATATAACTACCATTTACCCCTTCCCTAAAGAATTTTGAGCACTTCAATTTACACTGCCTCAAAGCTGGGCAACCTCAAGGGATTCAAATCATGCTCCTTTGAAATGCTGAGTTTGGGGAACAAAAAGTCAGAAAGGGCAAGATCTGGGCTGGAGGGTAGATGGGGTAAGGCCTTCCAACAAAATTCTCCTAGGACGGCCCTTGCTACCCTAAGAAGGTATACCCTTGTGATGGGTGGGGGGAGGGTGGGGTCCTCAACACAGCTTTCCTAGCCTCTTTCTCACCAATGCAAAATTTCTTCCTAATACACCTCCACGACCATCTTGTACCCTTTGAGAAAAATGTATCTAGATTGTCCCTTTGAAATTCCCAAAAGCAATCCCCTTAACCTCTCTGACTTGAATTTCACTGAGCCTACAGCTCTCCTTGGAAGCCACTGTTTTGGTCGGACCCTTTTTGGTGGCTAAGACAAGTGTGTTACTGAGAGAGCTTGTCTGAGTCATCCACGGATCAGACATATTTAAGCTCCTCTGCTTGGACTAAATACTGGTATGCATGGACCGGAACCCTATTAGCAACTCTTTTTGACATAGCCCTGTACGAAAGAGATTAAAATAGAGCTGTTGTGGTGGGCACTGTGGGCAAGGCCAGTCTCCCCATACACCTGGTCCTTTGACCTGGGCAGAAATTGGGCGTGTTGGCCTGGAAGGCACAGCAGGGTCTACAAAGCTAGTCCAGAGTACCTTCCACCTATCTGGGACCTGCTGAAAGCAACTTTTCCACCTACTGCTGCTTCCCAGGATTCCCCCCGACGTACGCCCATACTACCAGGATTTTATCTTTGCACGCAAATTGGAAACACCCAAAGCTGGTGTGAATTGCAGACAGTCTGCTTTGCACCATTAAACCACCAACCTTAGGCCTCGTAATCACATCTACATTTTCAATGATCCTCCTGAATGAAGGGGGCATTTTGTTGAGGATTCTGTGCTGCAGGAATTCTTGGGCTTTATGAAACATCAAGCCGCCTCCCACAACCAGGATGGAGCTGTACATCTTCTTTTTGGTGTCATCAGATGCTGCAAAGACAAACCAAACACAATGCCAATCCTGCCAAAGCTGTTCTCCCTATCTACCACTCCTCGAAGCCAAGCAATCACTTGCTCTTGCTGTACTGCAGCCATCTAAGGATTTACCCTCCCACGCATCCTCAACACCACGCTCAGAGCAACTGGACAAAGTACAAATGTGAGCATGCTGCTGCCTCCACATGCCAGCCTGCCCACTCTCACCACTAGTAAGCTTAAGACCCTAGTCTTTAAGGGGGCCCTTTAGGGATGCCCAATGTGATGTGACACTCATGCATTTCCCAAGCCTCATTCTCACCTCCACTTCCTTCAACTCTTTGTACTCCCCCAGGCTGATGCTGGAAGATCACACTCAATTCATCCCCTTCAATCTCTTTAGTGGCTCTTCCTCTAGGAAGTCTTCCCTGCCTCCCAACCTCCATGCCTCTCCCCTCTTTAGACAAAAGCAATCCCTCCGCCAGCACCTCTCAGTTAGTACCCTTGAGCTCTAACTGGAAGTACTTTGCAGGTGTCATTTCATGTTATGTGATTATTGAACTTATTTTGGTCTCCCCACTAGGTGACAAGCCCAATGAGAGCAGGAGCCAGGTTGGCTTCCTCACTACTGTATTCCTAACATCTGGCAGTAAAAGCACAGGTAAGTGTTGATCACATCAGAGAGTGCACAACTGTACCCTAGCCTGAAGCAGTTCATTTGATGTCTAATGGCGGGTCTCCCTGTAAGTGCTTACAACAGCAGTCTATGCTGTGAAGGATGGCTTTATCCAGGCCCAGGGCTTTGCCTTCAAACAGCGAAATGGCAGTCTTCCTGGACATCAGGGCAGTGAGGGCCTCCTCTGAATCATTGCCGGCCATCAGGCAGTCTCCCTGGGAGGATCCCAAATCCACGTCCTGGGAATGGAGCCTCTCTGAAAGATCAGAGGACTGGCCACGAAGATCCCCTTCAAATCCAATGGGTTTGGAGGCAGACTTACGGTCAGCAGTAGCTTTTGCCGACTGTGAATCAATCAGCACAACAAAAATAAATGACATGATTAAGACAGGACATGGCTGATCTTCTCTAGTGAGAGCCCCCGCTGCGTCCCCCCCACCCCGAAAGGAAAGCCTAATACTGTGGTCTAGGGCGGAAATATCTCACAGCATCTCTCCCTACTCCCTACCTCACCACCAGCCCTGACCCCACCCAAGCCAGCACTCACCCCCAGAAATCTCAGGAGTGAGAAGTGGGATAGAGAAGCTAAGGATGCTCTGATAATTGCTAAGCCATCACGATGGACAGGCAGGTAGATCTCAGAATCTTATGATCATTGGTTGGATTTTAAAATGGAATGTAAAGGGACTTGCCACCACCCTCGCCCACCCCCTCCCTTCGCTGCCCTGTAAGTCGAGCCTTTATACATGGAATACCTTAGTGGGATTCAACTATGGGTATCTCATTTTAGACCTATCGAACCACCTTGTCTATGGGACAGGAACATACCATCACCATAGGAAAAAGTACCAGTCCTCCTCTGCAATCTCATGAACTGCATTTGCTGTTAGGAGATTTAATTTCCACCTCTGCACTGATCCCACTACCGGCATTAGATTTGGACAAAGGAATGCAACTCTTTGCCTACGCCACCCTCTTCCACAATGCAGTAAAAAATAAGTGAGGTTTTAATGCAATTACTTAGTGAATAAACCCACGCAGTCCTCGGGGCACAAATGAGATCCGTTCCTGTGTCTTTAAGAACCAGGTACATACAGATCGCTAGTTAACCTAAATTTAATACAAGTAAGGCTGGAAGCCTGGTCAATGATCTAAAAGCTACACGTTACTTGTGAAGGTGAAGAATTTGTTTTGAGGAGCAGGAGCTGATTAAGAAAAACAAACCAAATGTCATGGAGTCCGTTCTGACTCAAAGCAATAGGACAGGACAGAACTACCCACATGAGTGTCTGAGACGGTAACTACAGAACAGAAAGCCATCTTTCACCCGGGGTTGTCTGGTGGTTTCGTCCTTAGCAACCCGACTTGTAACCACGCGCCACCTGGGTTCCGCGGAGTTGTTCAAAGTGAGGGAAATGTACCTAACATCTAACGATAAGTAGGAGTTGTCTGCACATTCAACTTGCGTTAACTGGGGTCTGTCTGTATTGAGATGTTGATCATATAATCACATACCTCGTGGAAGTCTCTCCATTAAATTAAAATCTTAAATGTGGAAATTGGATCAACGTCTGCTGGATAAATAAATCTGCAATGCAGATTTTAAATTTAGATTGCTTTACATTCATGGTGCTAAACACAGTACCCCCACTGATAAGCTGTAAAACAAAATCAATTCAGTAATCGATTATGAGCGAACTCCCTGAGGGAGGCGCAGCTCAGCCCCTGGATTTCCGCACACCTGTTCCTGCTTGCTCTGCGTGGCCAGCAGGTAATGCTCATCATGAGGATCCTCAGGGTCGCCCTGGGATCGGTGCTGTAAGATTGTCATTTTCTGTCCAACAATTCCAAAAGTCGCAGGGTAGAACAGAGCCATCGGCGCCTGTGCATGGCGGGACAAGAGTCATCAACAAAGGAGACTGCCTCTTGCAAAACTGGCTCCCTGAATCCCGTTCTTCTCCAACCCCAACTATCAGGTCAGACCCATCAACGTGACTGGGGGCAGCCTTCCCTTGTCTACAGCCTTACGTCTTCGGTGCTCGAAGAGCCAAGAGATCACACTTGCCTTCCAACTGGATGCTGATGTGACAGCAGAGAGCGCTCTCAAAGTACACGTGAATCAAGTTCCTAGCGATCCACTTGATAATTTCCCAAAAACAACAGTTCCCCTCCCTCTAAACCAGAGCTGAACGTTTCGTGGTTCATTAAAAGGTACTCCTCAGCGCTGTTCTAATCGGTATTCTGTCAGCTGCTTCAATGGTGGTGGACTACGTACAACCAGATAACACTATCTCTGGAGGGTTCCAGTGCGTGCCTATTCTCTGTGTCTCAGAAGGAAACCCGGACAGCCTCCTTTCTTACCTGGATTTTCTCATCTCCCAATCGAAACTGGTAAAGCAGGGCTGGGGAATCAGGGTGTCGAATCTGAAACTCGTGGTCCTGAAGTCCGGAGATGTCCTGGTTCCAGGAGACATAGTTAGTGATTCGGGCACACTTCGTGCAAGCACCGCAAATTCACCTTATCCCTCACCGCCGTCTACATTCCACCTTCAACTTTCTGAGATCTCACCGTCACTTAGCAAAACTAGTGAGAACTTGCTTCTTTTTGTGACTGTTCCTGAAATGTTCACCATCTGCAGTTCTAAGCTTCCTTCACCATCAAAATACACCAACCCAAACAGTACCCAAATAAATAAGCAAGTTTCCTTTGACAACTAGAAAACAACACATGTCTTCCTATTTATTTATTTGTTTGTTTGTTTTTAATCTTGAGGATTACTTTTTAAGGATTTTTAGGCTCTCTGAGCAAGATGGCGGAGAGCCAGGCTGGAGTCACTCTGGGGCAGCCGCATCTTTCTCGGCAGGATCTCACCACCGTGGATGTTACCACGTGGGCACCACATTCGCATGAAGTCCCCAGCAGACAAGCCACCGTGAATACAGGTGCAAATGCTCGTGGAGCTCATGGGAGAGTCTACAGTTGTAAAAGCCACTTCCAGAGTCCACACTGGCAGGTTAAAAATGAACTAGAAAGAAATAGCACCATCAAACTTGGGTATGCGAAGATTTATGAACGTGATGACCCAAGTTGCCCTTGGCCAGAATCTTATCGATCCTGTGGCAGCAGTCCACCTGATGAGTTTCCTACAGACGTTCCAGGGACCAAAGGGAACTTCAAATTACTCAGGCAGGTGTCCTTCCTGGACTGTCCAGACCATGATATTTTGATGGCTACTATGCTGAATGGGGCCACAGTGATGGATGAAGCTCTCCTGCTGATAGCTGGTAAGGAATCTCGTCCCCAGGCACAGACGTCTGAACATCTGGCTGCTACAGAAATCATGAAACCGAAACATATTTTGATTCTACAAAATGAAGTCCATTTGGTGAAAGAAAGTCAGGCTAAAGAGCAGTATGAACAAATCCTTGCGCTTGTACAAGGTACGGTGGCAGGAGCGCCGATTATTCCAATTTCTGCTCAGCTGAAGTATAGTATCGAAGTGTCTGTGAGGACATAATAAAGAAGATTCCAGTACCTCCCAGAGACTTTGCTTCAGAACCCCACTCATTGTGATTTGCTCCTTTGATGTCAACAAACCTGACTGTGAGGTTGATGACCTTGGGGGGGGGGGTGCTGTATTCTAAAAGGACTGTTAAAGGTGGGCCAAGAGATAGAAGTCCGACCTGGTACTGTTTCCAAAGATCGAGAGGGAAAACTCATGTGTAAGCCAATCTTTTCCAAATCTGTGTCACTTTTTGCGGAGCATAATGATTTTCAGAATGTGGCTCCAGGGGGTCTTATGGGAGTTGGAACAAAAATTGATCCCACTTTGTGCAGAGCTGCCAGAATGGTCAGGCAGGTACATGGTGCCATAGGCGCTTTACTTGAGATCTTCAGAGTCGGAAATTTCCCATTTCCTACTCGAACAGCTTACGTACTGAAGGAGACAAGAAAGCAGCCAAGGGGCAAAAGCGATCTAAGAACGAAGTGCTCGTGGTGAACCTTGGATCCCTGTCAACTGGAGGAAGAGTTAGTGCAGTGAAGGCCGATTTGGGCCAAATTGTCTTGCCTCATCCGGTGTGCACAGAAGTAGGAGAAAAAAATTGCCCTTACCCTAAGAGTTGAGAACGCTGGCGTTTAATTGGCTGGGGCCAGGTAAGAAGAGGATTGGCAAGCAAGCCAACAGTAGATGATGACGGAAGACGCCCAGTTACATAACAATAAATTTGGGACATCTCTTCCCAACCTAGGGATGTATTTCAAAGTACGACCACAAATTCCATTTCACAGCTCGTTACCTTAGTGGTAGGCAAAGATTACTCTGAGTATTTGGTGATGAAAATTTAACCTCTAGTACTAAAAGCAGTCCATAACAAAAACAAATATGGTTACTCTATAATCTAGTAAAAAATCTGATTCTCAAGTAATGTCGAATATATACATTGGAAATAAAATTATTTGCTACAGCCAGCCTTTGGTGTAGCATACATGCCAATTGAACCTATTTGAAATAAAGATTCTGATCTCAAAAAAAAAGACTTTTAGAAATATCTAAATTAAAAAAAGTATTTTAAAAGGGTAGCAACCCCCATGTGATAGTAACAGAACATAGACTATTCTATTACAATATTTAGAAGGTGCTATGTTCCAAATTGTGTTTTGTTACTAACACAGATGTATTTATTTACATGTCACTGTACAATATTTTGAAGTTTACCTTCATCCTTTTCCAGAAAGGTCCCGGACTCCTTAGGAGAGAAAAACCCACTAAACTCTCTCCTCAAGGAAGAGCTATGTTGTCCAGCCCAAGTCTGAGGTGCAGTCTGATTGCACAGCTCCCCCATGCTACCCATTGATCTTTTTTTAATTTTTTAAAATAATTTTATTAGGGCTCATACAATTGTCATCACAATCCACACATACATCAATTGTATAAAGTGCATTTGTACATTCATTGCCCTCATCATTCTCAAAACATTTGCTCTCCACTCAAGCCCCACATACCAGGTCCTCATCACCACCCCCACCACCCTGCGACCTTGATAATTTATAAATTGTTATTTTGTCATATCTTGCCCGGTCCGACGTCTCCCTCCACCCACTCCTCGGTTGTCCATCCCCCAGGGAGGAGGTCACATATATTGTAATCGGTTCCCTCTTTCCAACCCATTCTCCCTCTACCTTCCCAATATCACCACTCACACCACTGGTCCCGTAGGGATCATCCACCCTGGATTCCCTGTATTTTCAGTTCCTATCTGTACCAGTGTACATCCTCTGGTCTAGCCAGACTTGCAAGGTAGAATTCGTGTCATGATAGCGGGAGCGGGGAGGAAACATTTCGGAACTAGAGGAAAGTTGTATTTTTCATCGTTGCTACATCGCTCCCTGACTGGCTCGTCTCCTCCCCGACCCCATTGATCTTTAAGTGCAACAACATCACAGCTTTATCAACACGGTTTGAATTGGTAGCATACTATTATTAAATTTGTAAATATATCTTAAGGATCTTAATTTTTCCCTCAGAAACAAAATAATCAGCAATACTGATTTTGCTCTCACCTGATCTAGGTGACAAAACGTTTCTTTAAGGTGCTGCAGAAGAAGGCAATCCATTTTGTTCGTGAGCTGACATTCTCTGTATGGGAACCCAGCTCGCTGCATCAGCCAGTAGAAGCATCGAGACACGTCAGCTCCCCCGTATGCCAAACAGAGCCTGGGTTAAGAAAGAAGGGCAGGTGCCTCAGCTGTTTGTTCAGAGGCGGCAAGGGGAATCTCAAGAACTCCAATAGCCAAGTGAAACACAGTGACAATCAAGAAACGTTTGCTAGAAGTCACTGTAAGCCATTCTTCAGACAGAGAAGGGGCCACAAACGTTCGTGGGAAAATGCTGTTATCTTTCAAATCTATCTTCCCACAAACGTTTTAAAGAAGTCCCCCTATAGTGATTCACAGTACACAGTGGTAGGAAAACTAAAAGGCTAGTGTGTTCTGCACAACTTTGGAGCGCCCGGCCTTGGGTCAGACAAGCAATGAAGTAAGACACCCGAACGGAGGCTTTCGAATGCCCTGCTAGCGAGGGTGGGAGGTACAAGCCTAACCTTCCTCACAGACTGAGCGAGTCCCCTTTCAAATGTGTTTTATCCCTAGGGACCAAGACTCGCCCATGTGGGGAACAGGAAAAGGACCAGCTGCTACTGAGGACCCCTTCCTATGTAGAACCTGAGTGTGCTCATCAGCTGGGCCGGGCTCACCAAATCTGCTTCTGATCACTGTGGCCCTACCACTTCCATCACCGATGACAGCATTAGGGGACATGAGGGGAATGAAGAAGCAAATACTCAAACATGAGCCGGAGAAATCAGACGGAAAAGTAACTCCTTTCTCCTGCCTGGCTTGCCTGGGCAAGCTCTGTACGAGCGCATGGTTGGCAGCTCTAGGCCAGCCCTCGGGGAGGACGGAGAGTGCACACACTTCGGGGGAGGGAGGCCACAGCACCTGCTCAGACTTTCAGGGGAAAGGGATCAGTCACGGGAGTAGCCCTGGTGTCAGAATTCATACTTGCACAATCTCGCTGTGTTCTTCTGCAATGGTTATCCTTATATAGTTTCTTATCAATGATTTTTTTCCTTCTGACTTGTGATGCGTTACGGGTTGAAAAGCCAGCAAGGGGAGAGGGAGTGAGGCGTGCAACCACCTCAGGGCCTCACCGAGTGTTGCGATGAGAGACACCATCCTCTACACAGCATATGCTTGTCTTCTGGTCCCCAACATCTACAATACACGTGCTGCTGAGGCCACTCCCGAAGGTGGCACACACCGACTCCTGATGGACCACGATGCCTAGGAAACAAAAGGCAGAGGGGCCATCTGCTGGGAGCAGCTAAGAGCCTCAAAGAGATGCTTGACTAAAGGCAGCAGAGGAGCAAGTCCTGGGCCAGGGCCTTCTCAGAATAAGCTTTCATATATACCAGTAATTACTGTAACTCCATCATTAGAAAAACAAAAACAAACGCATTTAAAATAGGTTTTGTTTCCAAATCAGACATACCTGAAAAGCCCATCTTCATTAGGATCATATTCACTAATTCTTTCACATGCTGTTTACTATAGATGTCAGGAATTAACAAGATACACCTGTAATACTAAATGGAGCAAACAGAAAAAGAACAAAGGGTCAACTCGAGATTCTAATGCAAACAAATCTCCCTACCGTGGTCTTCAAAGATTTCCTCCACGAGCAGCAAGCAGTATGGGTAGAGGCTCAATGAAAGTGCCTACGCTTTGGGACGTCCTTGGAGTTTTGTGAAGAAACAGAACATTATGGAGTTTTTCTAAAACTTGGAATCAGGTAAAACGTGAGAAATGAAAAATAAGACCATTCACATTTCTGGAATGAGAGAAGGCACAAATACGAACAAGTTTCTGATCCTTTTGCTTTGCCCCTCTTGCCTGTTACAGAGAACAAGATGGGGGGAAACATCTGAGGGGAAACTAAGGCAGCAAGGGTGTTCTCAACACCTGAGGCCAAGGATGTTCTCAACACCTGAGGAAACTGTATCATGAAGAACTCAGCGCTGTGGGCTCTTCTTGACAAAGACTCTGACAGGCAGCCCCTGCCCCTGGAACTACGGCTCACCTTTAAATCCTTCAGTGGGATTTCCAAATATTTTTGTATTGCATGAGACCATATTACTTCAATGTCTGCCAGTACAGCCGTGAGGGAGCCGCCAGGTCCCGGGTGAACATTTAGCTGACCCCTTCTGATGGGCCAGTGAATATTGTAACAGTCCAGTGGATTCACATACAAGGCCTGGAAAACAGGGGGAGGGAGCACATTGCGAAAACTCTTCTTTGGACATTTCCTAGATTTCCATCCCCAAATCTAAGGCTAGACAGACATCCTCATTAAGGTTTAGGGTGGAGTATCTACATGTCAGGAGCCAGCGTGAACATCCAGTCCTCAAAGCTGGAAGAGATATCAATACATAACTACACCTGGATGGCAAAGTGAGTGAATTTCAGCTCTAGGATGATCAGCTTTCTCCGCTTTTCGATGTAAAGAAATTTCCTACCTCTTCTCCCACCAGGTACTCAGGGTGATGAGATGTATTTGTCCACTTATTTCCCGAACAGTGGTCTAAAATGGCAGGTCGCATCTGCTTGTTGTAGGAACGTGCCTAAAAAGAAAGCCATCCGGAAATATTTTGAATGTTATGCAAGAAAAAAAGGGAGGCAGTAACAGACCTCTCTTCTCCTCTAACCGACCAGAAATGGTGACAAGTTCAATCACAGATCTAAGATATCTGTGGGAGAAACAGGCCGCCAGGTCCAAACAGGGAGCCAAGAGTCAGGTAGTCCCTAAATAACCAGGGCACCAATCGATGACCACGAGAACAATCACTAGAGGTCAGACACCTGGGGTATGGAACAGGGAGCCAGATGGATTAAGAAA